GTATGCTCGTTCTCTGTTTCACTGCAAAGTCAGACAGACTGATGTGATTTTAGAAAATTGAACCCAACAATTGCTGCTTCCCAGCTGACAAATTTGCTTTACCAGCCTGGATGCAAGTGCAAGGACTGGGACAGAAGGACAGACATCATCACCTGCTATGGTACCCACAATGCAGAACTTGTTCAGCCAATTTGCCAATTCTGTGGCCTGGAGGGGTTTAGTGGAAAAATATGTCAACCTGAGSTGTCCTTTAGGTGGAACTCAAACACCACAGCTAATCCAAACAAATGTCTAATTCTGTTTTGCTGACGTTCTTCCCCTCCAAATTTCCCCCACGGTTTCAGTTGCAGGGAGAACACATTTGTGTCCTGGTTTCTGTGCCATCAGGCAGCCACCGTGCCCTCTTTCAGAAAAACCTGCCCTCARCTGTGGATGAAGAATTCTGCTTGCACAGGCAGTGGAATGTTCCGTGATCTCTGGACCAAAGGTATTCATTAAATGATTGGTGGTTTTTAATTGTTATTAAAAGTGGAGTTTCTTGATGTTAGCGCCAAGTGATGCCAGAATACTAGGGAAAATCATAGTTCTCCTGAAGATCTTCGATATAATATAAGGATGTTACTGAATGGGAGGGGATACAAAATGCATTCAGAAATTGAAAATTAGGAAGATGAAGGGTTGGGTTTTTTTCATGTAGTAACAAAACAAATAAACAAGCTCAGAACTTTTAAGTCTGACTTGGAGTAAAAAAATGTTAGAAAAGAATGCACAATAGAAAAAGTTTTACAATTGATTAAAACAATGACACTTTGCTGACTGGGGAAACACATAGGAAACACAAGTTGCCTGATTAAGGTATGTTTTTAAAATATGCCCCTTATTGGAKAGTTATATGGTTGTATGGCTTAGTACTAGGGTGGAGGGCATCATAGAATCCTTTGCCATGTTAAGGACATTTTCTTAAGGTATGATTTCCTTTGATAAGACTTGTGCAAATCAATCTGTACTTACAACATGGGAAAAGACTGGTAAATGCATTTTTAGGATAATTTAATTTACTATCCCCTGGGATAGTTTCCAGGTCAGCACTGGAAAGTCCTTGTCACAGATGTCCTCCCTCCTGGAGGCTCACAGCACTGCTCATGGAGCTGCTCAATGTTGCATTGGGTGGAAATTAAAAAAAAAAAAATTCCCCATGCTAGAAAAGTAAAAAGAGTCATTTACTAATTCAGTGTTTAGTTTTGTTTTGAGTTCAGCATGGGGCAGGAGAGTCTTCCCATAGAATATGTGTGCCTGATGTAAGAAAACAAGCTAATTACCTGTGAGAATATGCAAGAAAGGAACATTTTGGAAGAAACTTAAGGGTTCAATCAAAGAGCACAGATGTGACAGTGTCTTTCAAAAGATGATGACCACATCCAAAACTGAAAACAGCCAAAAAGAGAGCAAATGAAAACCCAGGCAAGCGTACCTGACACAAAGTTCTTTCTTACTCAAAGACCTTCATGCTTCACTGTGCCTTATTGGGGTTTTGTGTGCTGGTTTCACATTCTGGATTGGGAGAACGGGAAACAGAAAACCAATCTCCAAATAAGTCACACAGGGCTTTCTGTCAGTTGCCCTCAAAAGTAAAGGGAGTGAAGTTGCCTCTTTTTCCCAAACATTGATGTTAGAGTTTTCACCATCTCCATGGATTTTGACATGCTTGAGAGGTGGGTCAAGGCAAACATCATGAAGTTCAACAAAGCCAAGTGCAAGGTCCTATGCCTGGATTGTGACAATCCCAAGGACACTGAAAGGTTGGGCAGAGAGCTGAGTGAATGCAGCTCTGCAGAGAAGGACCTGGGTGTGCTGGTGGATGGAAAACCCAACATGAGCAGGAGCTGTGCACTCACAATCCAGAAAGACAATCATACCTTGGGCTGTACCTAAAGCAGCATTGCCAGCAGATTGATGGAGTGACTGAATCTCCCCTCCACTCTCCTCTCCTCTCCTGAACCCCCATGTGGAGTGCTGTGTGCAGTTGTGGTGCCCCTGACATAAGAAGGACATGGAATTCTTGGATCAAGTCCAGAGGAAGGCTGCAAAGCTGTTAAGAGGGTTGGAACCCCTCTCATAGCAATCTTCCAGCATCTGCAACAAAGGGAGAGAGATTCTTCATCAGGAGCTGTGGTGATGGGAAAAGAAAGAATGAGTACAAAATTCCAAGAGGGGAAATTTAGGCTGGATATTAGGAAGAAATCCTTTACACTGAGGGTGCTGTGGCACTAGAAGAAGTTGCCCAGAGAGGTTGTGGATGTCCCAACCCTGGCAGTGTTCAAAGGCAGGTTGGATGGGCTTGGAACAACTTGGTCCAGTGGGAGCATTGGATCACTTAGAGGTGATCTCTAAGGTGCCTTCCAACCCTTAACATTCTATGATTTTATTATTCAGGGCAGGAATCCCTCTGTACTGAGCCAAGTGGGAACCACCTCATGAGTTTTCTCAGACCAGTTTGAGCCAATCCAAAACTGTCATGAATCAGGCCTGTAAAGTGCATGTTCTCATATTATTTCTTCTCCTTTCAGTGACTGCACTGCAGAGATAATAAATAAAGGGTTGACTCCTGACTGCATACTGACATAATTTCAATTAATATACTTCTCCATTTTCATCTCTGACATCCCCACATGGTTTGYAATTGTGAATCATGCAGATACCTCTAGGAATGGCTGAAAAAGCTCCAAAAGGGAAGAAAGACACACCACATATGCTAACTTTATTTAACAAGGGAAAATATTTACTCCCCATGGACTGACCTCACGTTATTCTGGATGTCAGAGATAATTTTAAAGCCCTGGGTCTTCAAACCACTCCCATCTCATCAGTTATCACTGGCACATGAAAAAGTGCCACTTCCACAGATGGATGCACTCAGCCTGTGAACAGCAACACTGCACACCCACACAGACCAACAGTGTCTTATCTTTCCTCTCTTATCTATCCACCTTTGACTGCTGGTCAGTTCTGGGACACAAGGCTTTCCATGGCCTGCAGATAGAAGAGAGAATTGAGCACAGAATTGGCATTGAATRTGCCAAAGGAATGGTCTGAGTAGCCCACAGTGACACTGTGTAATTCCCCTTCCTCCCTTCAGTCTTCTGGACACTGGCTCGAAGGATTTGCATTTGCTGGTTAAARGCATTTTATAAAAAAGGGGAAGAAGAGCTGCTTGCAGCACTGAAGTTGTAGCAGCCCACTTAATGATTTAGCAATTCTCTCTAAAGCAGCTTGCATGAGAGAAGCATCTTCTCACACTCACACTTGGTGACAAGCCATTCCCTTCCACAGGGRATGAGTGTTCACCTCTCTACACATTCACAGGATCCTTCTTCATGCAAGCATCTCCTTCTGGAAGGCAGCAGCCAGGAAAACGTGTAGGAACTCTGAGACTTCTGTCCTCACAGCTCCAAATACAAACTACAGAGAAAGGCAAGYAGTGCCTTTGGTATTCTTGCCTGGGTTTTTTGTCTCTCACTCTCATTTTCAGTTCTGGTTTTGGTCTTTGCTTCTGCGAGACAGTCATAGCAAAACATGCCTAGCTATAGCAGTACTCTCTCTCCACTTATGTCAGTAGATGCTACATTGCTTTAATTTCTCCTCTTACACACCTGCACTGAATAAAAAAAAAAATAGAGCTCTCCTTTATTTTTCACTTGACTGAAAGCCAAAATTCTTATTTATAGGATGGAAATATGTCTGCTGTGAAGTAGTTTCTGCAGTCTTCAGTGGCCTGGCACAGGCATTTTTACTTTAACAGTCAGTTGTCTGGTTTAATTCAGAGGAACCCAGCCTGGGAGGAAAACCCCTCGATAAAAGTTCGCCATGCAGTTGTGTGGCTGTGGCAAAAAAAGAATTACCTCCATCTATGACAATAGATTCTGCATGAGCCTCTCTCCTCTCCCTCCTCTTCTGCTGAAAAAAGATCAAAAGAAAATTATCTATATCCTCCAAGCCACGTGGACTTCTTTCTCCTCTTTTCTAAAAAAGGCAGAATGATCCTGGAAAAAACATAATTTTCAGTCCTGTACATTACAGTACATTCACAAAACACGTGTCAGTGCACTGAGTGGAATTCTGTATTAAACAGAAGAAGAGATCAGAGACCTGGGGTAAAGGTAAAGACCAAGTGTACCAGCCTAAAATAAAACATGACAAAAAATGGGAAACCATCAGGAAAGTGCATTACCAGTGAGGACAGCTGACAGCAAACTCACTTTTTTTCAGTACTTATGAGAACAGGTGAGTTTTTACATCTGCTCCTGCAAAAGAGCTTTCTTTGGAGCTGCTTAAAGGAGGAGATTGAAGGACCTTGGGAAGGATGGAGGCTTCTAAATTCTAAATATATGGAAAAGGCACACAATAAAACCAAAGGTGCTGCTGAAATCCAAAGTGATAAATACAGACCAGTCAGATGCATGTACCATTCTCAGGGTGCACAGAAACGACTTTTGGCTTTTTACCAGAAATATTGGCCYTTATACCATGTGAGCCCAAGCAGCCAGAGAGGTGTGTTGTCATAGGAGTTTTCTTCYTGTTTTCTAAAGAGAAACAATTTTTTTTCTGGACTATGAACTACATGCTGTGCAGCCTCAACTCTTCAAATCATACAGGTTTTCCCTATGTTGTGCTTTGCTGTTAAGGAGAGGTTCCTGTCACAAAACTGAAGGTCACACACTTCATCTCTTCTGGCAGCTGACATCACCGTGYTGTCCCCCCCACCTCCTCCTGCGTCACACTCTCCTCCCTCTCTACTTTCAATTCCCCATCTTCTTCCCCACCCTGCCAGGCCAAGCATGCTCCCCATTCCTCTTTCCTCTGCTCCAGGCGTTTTGGGTACCCCAGGAACTCTGTGTTCCTCCCATGGCATACACASTCTGCARTAATCTTGCACCACATCACCYTYTCTGTAAACCAGAGATCTGCCATGRYGTGCTGATTGTGSTTGYTAAAKMCYGGGAAACACATGGAAGTCCTTGCAGCAGCCTGTGGAAAAAGGTGAGATGAACTTTCTCAGCTGTCTCCTCTTGTGAAAACTTCTTGTTTCACCACTTCTTTGGGAGTACTGGAGTGTTTTCAACCTCTAAGATATTTCTTTCTTTTCTCGTTCTTACAGTGTCATGGAGGTCTGCATATTCTTCYTAAGTGCTATGATACTTCTCCCAGGTAAAAGGCACATTTTTAATTGTTAAAACTGTTTTGATTGTGTCCTACTTTCTCATCCACTAAGAAGCTCATTCCTTAGTAGTAATTAATCACTTCCATTGCACAATCAAGGTCATATAGCCTATGTGACATGTATTTAAATTGTGTGCAGGAAGTCTGTAAAATATATATAGTAAGTACTTTCTCTCTTCAACTTTATATCTTTACATTAAACTTATTTTATGTTGCTCTTAAATTCTCAATTTAAATCTGTCTTCAAAATGTGTGTGTATCACCTGTGTGTATTATAGAGAAGAGCARTATTAAACTGAAAACTGGCAGTTTGCTATGGGACAACTGCAGTCTGAGGCAGCCACAGAGATCATTTTGCWGTCTGGTGCTCTGGAAGAGCAGTCAAAACATTGCACCAGAGGAGAGGCTGTAAATCTTCTCCTCCTTTTGAACACAGCAGAGATGTTTGTATCTTCTGGGACAGAGGACTGCATTTCTTATTCCAAAAAAAGGCAGTCCTTCCAGACCACCACCACCCATCATAATGGATACATGCAAGGGTAAAAGCAGGAGAAAAATCATCCCTTGTGTAGTGCTGTTCATCCTTTTTTTGCATGAAGGCATAATTGTATTTATTGACCATTTATATTAACAAGATCAGCTACAGAACAGTTAAATCTGACATTTACTCTGTCATTAAATTCAAGATTAATTACAGAACAGTTAAATCTGACATTTAATTTGTCATTAAATTTTAGATTAATTCTTCATTGAGACTAAAAGTGTTCACCTGCTTCTCAGCTTCTGGTCAGACATTCCCTAGACACTCATATTTTCCACACACTGTGTACTTCACAGTTTCTTCAAAACTTTAATGCTGTGTTATTTTCTTAGGAGATTTAACTCAACTTTTTAAGCAGAAATGGTGCAACTATTTCCTTTGTGGCAGAATCTCATTACACTCAGGATACTGCARACAAGAATAGTTTGAACCTTTGGCCTGCAGATAAGTCTTCTAAAATATAGATGCTCACAATCTCTGTGTGGTAAGCCTTCCCTAGAAAGTAAAATATAGGAAGAAAAATAAGARACAGTTTTATGAGCTGAACTCCACAAGACTGAGTCTTTGAACARCTACATGTCCTGTCATACCCACTGGGAGAATTAGTGTCTAAATGCTGGCATTTTTATTTCCACTGTTGTTAAGCATTGTGTCTCTGAGTGCAACTTGGTGTTGTTTTGAAGCTGATGGAAATTTTAGTTTCTCTCTCTCTCTCTGTCCAAGGTACTGCTGCCAGTGTACACCCAGTGAAGGCATTTCTCCATCACACCGCACACCTATCCTGTTTTTTTCCAAACTCTCAGAAAATTGATGTAAATAATTTAATAATTTTTTGGCAAAAAGACACTATTAAAGTGGTGAACGAAGTATATTTTGGTCAAGAGAAACATGATCACCTTAGTCCTGAATATATAAATCGCACCAAGGTGGATCTGAGCAAATGGACCTTGCAATTGTTAMATGCAGGAATTGAGGACGAGGGACACTATCAGTGTGTTATTATGCAGAAAAGAGATGAACAACCAGCAGAGCTCATACACAGATCTGAGTGTGTGCTGCACATCRTTGGTAAGTAATCTCCTCGATTTCCCATCTGATCTGCAGGATTCTCTGGGACTTTGTTCAGTCCAGAACTATGGGTTTTGTCTCCAAGCCCCTGAGAAAATGCACCTGCTCTGGAGCAGAATTTCTAAACATGGATAGGAGGCATGCCTTCTGTGAGTTTTATGGGTTTKAGGACTCTGGAAAATAAACTTGTTTATTTGCATCTGACAAACTGCCTTCTATTAAAAGTAGCAGTGGTTATCAACATTGGTGGCAAATTAGAATTGAAACATAGCAAGGTCTCTGCAAACACCCAGYTATTTTATGATCATATAAATCACAGGGAAAATAAAAGAACAGCTCACATGGAGGAGTAGAGATTTGTATGTTCAGTTAAAGGAAGGCAGAAAATATCTCTGAAGGAAAAATGCATACATATGTTGATGAGATTCAACCTGATTTTTCGCAACAGATATTTTTTTGTAATCAGTGGAAAAGGCAGTAAATCTTTTAACAGGGAAATGGAAGTGAAAGATCAATTTTTTCTTAACATTTTCAAATATTTTTATCAGTTATCAGCTTAGCCAACATGCTGCAGAAGTCTCACACTTAGAAGTCTCCCACACCTTTTAAGGTTTAACTTAGGAAGATTCTTTTAACAATGTGTTGTTGTCTYCCTTCCAAATTACTCTCTGTTCAATAAACTCACAAAGGAAAGAGCAGTATAAAAYTATATTTGAAAACAACCCAAACCATTCAAAATAATTAGATGAAAAATACAAATATGGAAATGTACCTGTCCTTACATGCTGCTTTTTAATTAGAACTTCATATCATCACAGTGACTTATACAATAACAATGGACTCAGATCCTTCTCCAGGAAAAAAGGGAAGGCTTCACAGTGGCAAACTTTGGCTCTTAAAAATGCAAGGTAGGGACCATGGTGATAAGCAGCTTAATTGGAAAATCTGCTGCTGTGGCATGTCTGCAGTGCTTCCTCTGATAGATCAATAAGGGAAGTAGCTGAGACTAAGGAAACTCTTTCATAATATGYACTACTCAAAGTCTTGAGACTGAAATGATATCACAAGAGAGACTTTGAGTTGCTCGTTTTAAAAATGGATGTCGAAAAACTGAAAAGTGTGGGAAAAGCTCTAGTAGAGTTATGTGAAGACTGGAAAAAATACAGTTCAACTAGAAACAGTAAAACAGTAGTCTGATTATCTTATAACACAGAATAATGAGAAGAGTCTTGTTTCCAGAATGTGGGAATCTGAAATACCTGTAAAATACTGGATATTAAAAAAAAATTAAAGGCTAATTAATTAATTCAGTGACAGTGAGTGKCTGGAAGGACATAAAGCAGATGGTTCACTTAAGAAAATAGAACAAAACCAAGGTGTTTAAGCAATGGAAGAAAATATTTAGGGCTTGATGGATCTGCTGTCTCTTGAGGTATTTAATCTAATCCCAAAGCCTTTTTGGGATGCTACCTTTAAATACAGAAGACTTCCTGAAATATGCTTTTCTGTTAACAAACACAAAACACAAAACTCAGTAGTGTTTCTGTTAACAAACACAAAACTACTATATTGTAGCCCATACCCTGCCTGAAGCCAACACCCACATTTCAGTAAATTGAGGTTCCAGAAGCTATGAAAGAGAAATGTAGGTTATATTCCATTTGCTTACTGTCAATAAGATTGAAGCCCTCAAATCACTTGGATGTTGTGTCAAGCTTCACACTCCTGCCATCCCTATAAAATACCAAGAAGAGAATGAATATTCCAAAACAGAAGTCTAACAGCAGTCAGCTAAGTCAGACCTTGAGGAGAAAGGAAGTTTAAGCTTTCCTGAGGGACAACTTAACTAAATTTTGGGGTATCAAAAAGGGGRGGGTGGGCATTTTCCATTTTGAACTCATATCTATGGACTCTCTTGGGGGGGATTTAACTGACTAAGCTAAATCCTATTCTCTGTGTGCTAGGATAGAGAAAATAAAAGCAACATCAYGTTTCTTCATTCATCCATATTAAGAATTCTCTAGGGCAAGGATTAGACTCTGGATCCAACACACTGAGTGAGATCCTCTTAGACTCATATTTTTCTAAGAACCTTTTTTCCCTTCTCCACTATTTCTCCATATTGTCTTCAGTCCTATTGGCCCTAAAATAATGAAGCATTTTCAATGAAATCTTGAGTCTATTTCTTGGGGTTTGGTTCTGATTTTTTGGGAGGTTGTTGGGATTTTTTTTAACTTGCTGTATGCCAACTTGCAGTCAGTATTATGTCTACATTCTCTCCTTCTCCTTTTCTATTATAGTGTACTGTTTTTACTATGAACCTCTAACCAAACAAATTCTGTTTGAGAATATCTAGATTATTTAAGAGACAATTGGTTATAAGTTTCCATTTATCATTCATATTTTATGTTTAAATAATTCTTCCCAATTCTGTTTCATTATTTCTTGCCTGGAAAACTTGGCTTTTTAAGGCAACAGGTGTGTTTTTCATTGATTGTGATGAGTACCCAGTGACACAAAAGAAAAAAAAACCTTATGCTACAGTCATTTCTATCAAAAAAGTTGTACRAAGTTATGATGAGTGAATTACTTTATATGCTGCAACATGTTTTCTCACAATACTGACAGACACCAGGGATGTTTGCACTTAAGACAGCGCTGCACTTTGAATTTACACATCTCAGTTCTCTCAGATGATTTCTTTCTTTACATTTCACAGTTGGAAGTGATTTTCCCCTTGCCCATTTGGGAGGACAAAAGTAGGCAGCATTCTTGTCCCTTCCCATTTTTTTCTTAAACCCTTATCTGCAAGCAAGCCAGGTTTAATTTCTGAGGTTTTAATGGATCTAAAAGAGGTGGGAGAGACAAGGCCCATTGGCTAGTCAGACTTGCATCTTTTAAAAACCCAGAGGACAAGAAGCAGCAAATCTACATATACACAAAAAAAAAAAAAAAAAAAAAAAAAAAAAAACCTTCTTGGAATGACCATTGTCTTCCCGTAGAAATCTGTTTAGACTTGTTTCTGCCTGAAAATCTTAAATAACTGGCAGGGACTGTCACAGATGTGATATGTTGGGCTCACAATGCTTTCTCTTCGGTCTGTTTCAGCCAACTACAGTCAACCTGAGATAGCAGAACTGCACACTGGGGAACTAAAACCCAACGGATACTTGAATTTTTCCTGTTCTTCCAGCGGAGGTTATCCAGAGCCCGAGGAGATGACTTGGCTAATCTCACATGAGAACATCACACACAGCAGTACAGCTGACATGGATGTCTCCCAGGATGCTGTSACAAAGCTGTACAATGTTACCAGCAAGCTGAATATCSCAGTTCCTACAAAGAGCAGGACTARTATCAGCTGCTTGCTTCACCTTRGGGAGCAGCTGGGAAGCCTTGTYTCAGTGCCACTGGGCATAGGTGAGTCTGCATTTGCCCATTCCAATTTCTGCACAGGTAGGAGCAGGGTGCACAGACAGCAGCACTGCCAAGGCAGGGAATAAACCCTGACAAGTAGCACAAGTTGGTTTTAAGGGTTGCATGTTCTCCACACTGTTCACCACTAAACTTTCTCTTTTCCACATGGGATATCTTATTACAGCCAGGAGAGGGCACAGAAAAGGAATTGCTACACAATCCAGAACAGAACTTTATTAATCCCCTCCCGAGAGGATGCTGCAGTAGCAACAAAGCAACAAAGCAACAAAGCAACCTAAGCCTGGACTAGGCAGTAACCAGGCCCTGGAGGTGACAACTGTGGAGATTTGTTGTCTCTACACAGAATCACAGAACTGTTAGTGGTGGAAGAGGCACCTGGAGATGATCTAGCTCAACCACTCTGCTCAGAGTAGGGTCAATAGGTAGTACAGGGCTTTATCCAGTTGAATTTTAAACACCTTCCAGGATAAAGACTCCACAACCTCTCTCAGCAAACTGTTACAGAGTTTGATAGCAAAAATAAGGGTCTTTTGCTGGTTTAAAGTTCTTGAGCTGCTATTCTTAATCATTCCTTAGAGAAAGGCAGAAGGCTAAACAAAAGAGTCCCTTGGACCATATTTGGTTCACAAACTGCCAAATAGACTGTGCTGAGTTTGAGTGTAAGGGCCATGAAACTTGGACAAGCATTAGAAGCATTCCTGGTGGTTTTCATAACTTTTGGCAGAATGAAGTGCACATTCCAAAATGACTATTTGGGGATTTTCCTTCTCTGAGATTGTGTCTTTTTTCAGGCACCTCTTGCAAGAAGAAGCTGGGGACCTAAGTTCTATTATGACTRTACTGCCAAGTTATCTCAGGGTCCCACATGGCTGATCCTTTCTTTAAACTAAAGCAGGATTTTATTTATCTTCTGGACCAGGAAAACTTCTTTTGACATGTTTTTTTTTGTAGCTATGGCACAAGAACATCAAAATAAAGAAATTCCTGCTTTGGTCATGCATTTGTTTGGCTTGCTTATGTCTTTTTGAGACAATGTTGAAGATGGAGATCCATGCTTCAATTGACAGGAAAGGGAGCCAAGAGGGAAGGATAGCATTGCAGGAAAGCCTTCCAGGCTAGCATAAACATGTGCATTACTACTGCAGATGTAAAAGAAATTTGCCACTTGTTCTGAAAAAGTTCCACAGGGCAGGTTCYTTAATCTACATTTAGCTAAAGGGTTAAACTATCAACACCAGATATGGCAAACTGCCTCCAATGTATTTGCATTCTAGGATTTTAAACACTATTGAAATAAGTCCAGAAGTCTTCTAATGTTTGATCAGCTCTGCACGTTGCTCATGAGTGTTGAAATGGCTGTATTAACTATAATGCTGTATCCTTCTCTTCTCTCTACAATTCTTCTCTCCTTCCCTGCTTTATAGCTACCTGACAAAAAGTGATGGTGGGTAAGAAACYAGAAACTCCACATAAATCTAAGTTTTGTTTGGCAATAACTGAAGCTGTATCAGCTGCTAGCCCTGCCAACCAAAACCTCAAAAACACAAAAGCCAGAAATAGAGGGAAAGTCCTTTGAATTCCCTGCTACTTTCACATCCCTTACAGTATTTCATTAGGCTTTGACTGTTATTTCCATCAGATACCAAGTAGTAACATGTTCCAGGTTCACACTTGCACAGTGGCACAGAGCAGCATTTAGCACAGCAGCTGCCTAGCAGGCTCTTGTATGAATTAAGTTGCTGATCCTTCACATGTTAGCCAAACCTCAGAAAGAGTGCTTTGCTTTGCTGTGCTTGAAGTGACCATTAAGACCAGGTAGTTTCACTAGTTATTGGAAATGGAAATAAAACAATGTGGATGGTGATTCACTGACACTATTAAAGCACTGTAAAAGCAAAGGGCCTTAACCTAAACTTCAAACTCGCTTAACTTTACTATAGAGTTTTTTAAGTAATTGCCACCAAATTAAATCTTTGCTGTGTGTATCTTCTCTGTTTCCTTATTCAGAGATACCAGAGAAAGAAATGGAGCCAGCAAAGATAAATTTCTTTGGCCCACTTATAGCTGTGGTTGTACTGATCACTGCAGCACTTCCTCTGGGTTTTGTGATATTAAAGAAGAACAGAAATATCTTGTCTACCAACCAGAGTAAGTTACTACTTGTCRTTCTATTCTACCATCCCTCAGGTCACAGGCTTTACCCTTTATAATTAACCCTTTACCTATTTTCCAGCTGCTGACAAAAAGTCAGGTTTCCTGTTGGTTTAAGCTAAACTTCCTAAGACAATTTAGTTCTTGTAACAACTTAATCCATCCTGCAGCAAGTCAAAACGTATTTCTCCTGTCTCATCCTGGAATCCACTTCTTCCTCYTTTTGTGCTTGTGAGACTGCCATGGCACCAGCTTACCACCTTTTCCTGCCGTTTCATTCATCCTTTTTTTCTGAGTTTGGGGTAGATTTGGCTTCTAAAATCATTGAACTATATCAATTTTTCTTGCCCATCTCTACTTTTAAGAAAGGTGGAGCTGGGGAAGGGATGAGATGAACTTMCATGAAGGGCATGGAAGGATCTCTGTCACCACAGAGCTGAACAGTCAAGGCATTGCCSTACCACAAGCTGCCCACACACTGGGCTGAAAGAATCACCTTGTACTAGGAACAGAATTTGATTTTGGCATTTCATTTCTCCATTTTGTTTCAAGACTAGCTCTCAGCAGTCCAGGGTTTATTCTGCACTGAATCATGCTGACATCAGAATCTATTTTTCCTTGTAGTAAGAGGGAAATGCATTTCTCAGTCAGTCCTATTTCCCTATACAGCCAAGGGTCCTGAACCCCGCCTTGTTCTTTTTTCAAATTCTAAGATAACTGGACATTTACTATCAACTCTTTTTCAGCTCCTGTTTATCACATTGCTGTAAATCACATATTCATCTATTTTAGGTGTTAGTCTAGCAGTCTAGAAGCTATCCAGCTTGAAACTGAGGCCACCAGCCAGACTGCTGACTGAGAACCAYCTCTGCACATAGCAAGGTGTGAGGTTCCACGTTTTTTGAGGCTCTGCCAGAACAAGAATCCTCYCCAGATGCCCTACAGAACAACATGCAACACTTTTGTGTGATGGCTGAAACCTACTGCCCAGTGTTCTCTGCTTTGTTTTTGCTCCAGAATGGCAGTAAATAAGCTGCTCTGCCTGCCTTCATGAGTACCTTTTTGTTGTATYTTTTATTATGCACTGTGACAATGTAAAATCCTGAGAGTCAATGGTGAAAGCAGAGCTGCATAGGTTACAGAGTGTCTCAGAAACAGAGTTAAGCCACAACCTGTGAATCATAACCATGGCTGCAAACAGGATCAGAGTAGGCTATTACACACAGAATCACAGAACCGTGGAATCATAGAATGCCTTGGCTTGGAAGGGAACTTAAAGGTCATCCAGTTTCAACCCCCCTCCCTAACCAGGAGCCAGAAATGCTCTTGGCACACCCACTGTGGCTTTGTACCAGTAACTTTCTTGTAAAGCTTYGCATCAGAAAGAGGAACTTCAGGGCACTTCCCTACCTTCTCAGAAAAGTCGTGCAATTCCTATCAGGCATGTGAAAGTAGAAAAAGTCTAAAGGAAATACTTTAAACATAATTTGCGATTATCTTTGATTTTTTCAATATCATCCAAGCTTAATATGCTCAGACAGTTAGTACTTCCACACTTTGTTCCTCTATATCCTGACTGAGAGCTGTAATAGTTGTTCAGGTGGATGCAGGGATAGACAAGAAAGCATGAGGCATCATTCATACGTGTGTATATCTAAACATACAAAATTCAGCTGAGCAGATMATGAAAAAACATAACTCATGTTCCATTTTGGCTGACTGTGTTCTCCCTTTCTTAATTTTCCTTCAAACCTTGATGATAGAGCATTTCATACACTGTGGTATGTTTAGCCACAGGAAGTAATTTTACCTTTCGGAAAAGACTTTTTGTTCCACTCAAAATATGTCAGTTCTCCTAWCTTGAATGACCTCTGCACTTTATATTCTTTAACAGCACTGACATCTTTCAGGAGGAAGAATGCAGCAAAACTGAGGCAAAATTCTTTTGAGGTCTGGATTGTGTTTGTAGGTCTGACACTTTCAGAAAGAGCAGGGATATTAGCATCATATTCTCAAGACAAATTTCAGCTCCGAGTTGCAGTGTGGGGGCATAAATTCCCTACAGTTTCTGCTGGGTACAAATATTCTATACTGTTAAATGATGTTGTGAGTTACCATGTTCCACCTCAATTTTTACTGCATTTTCAAGCTGTGACAGAAATGTGTGTTCTTTAGAGTTAGCAAAACTATTTGGGAGTCAGTTTATTAAGCTATTACACTAACAATCCAAATATTTTCATTCAGATTATTATCATTCAAATGTTATTAGAAGTTAAAGATTTCAGTTTTTTTGTAAAAGTTTTACTTGCTAGCAAACTTATTTAATGAATTATTAAAAGATATGTCTTTTTCTGTGTTGCTGTTTTTATTCTCCTTCCATTAAAGCATCATGTTAGGCAATACCAACATTTTGTGTTCTCAGGGTATTTCCACAATGTGTTTCTAGAATTGCTTCTTGGAAGCAAATGAATAAAAAAGGCATTGCTGCACTGACTGAGAATAACACAGTTGGAGATTTCATATGTTCRTTCATGGAGCAGTCTATATGTGCACAGCCCTGTGTATATATATGTCCTTGATTTATTGAYTTGTACACCTCAAAGATTAGATGCAAAATTCCAGTCTGAAAATTCAGCTTTTCGATTCTATGCTGCAGATTTTCAAATGTTTCTCCAGTGGGTCACACAAGCTTCTCTAATTCTTGATACCATTCAGTTCCTTAAGTAAGGTATGTGTTAAATGATTGGGTATACTGAATCAGAGAGAYACTCACTAGATTTGAATTGTTTCTCCTGCTCTTTTCCACACATRCTGTAATTAATTTTTTTCAACTTTTCCCCTTCCCACTCAAGTCACCCACCTCAAATCCTTGCAAACATTGAGATTGTCAGAACAGCAGTCAAACCCTGCTTTGCTCCCAACCAAACAACGAGCCCTGTGGGTCTTTTGTGTTCCATATGATTCGAGTCACACATGTACACATATCCTATTGTACTCAGAGTCTCAGAACTCTCCTACTAATCCCCAAATCCTGATATGCTGCTTATCTGGTCAGCTTTAGGCACTGAGGAGAAAAAAACATCACCAACTTTTCATGTTTGTCTATAGGAGAAAAATCATAACCAGTTCCTCCCCAGTGGATAAAGTATCTGGAATTCTATGCTAGGACTCAAGAGTCCTTCTATAACACATTCATTAATCAGAAAAAAAAATAAAATCTGAGCAMTTGGAAATTCAACAGTGTTTGCAACATGTCTTAGTACCTCTGAGGGAGCTTTTCACCCTGATACAGAATTTACTATCACTATCAGCAGCTGTAACTAGTGGAAAAAGCAACATGGTTGGTTAGGTTTATCCTTTGACAACTCCCTTCCATCCTTAATTTGTTCCTAATTGGTGAAGTTGTTTGTTTTCTCCCTTGCCATCCCTMTACTTTAGGCTGCCAACCTCCTTCTATTAACTGCTCCATTTCTCTACCTCTTCTATTCTTTCCCTTAAATCAAGTCTAATTCCATCCTGCAGGTAAAGATTTAAGGGAAAAAAAAGCCGACGGGCTTCAGGGAAAAACTTAATTTGTCTCTRTGTGCTGAAACACATTAATCCTCTGCACTAGCAGGTGTAAAAGGAAAATTGCAAGGCACAGGGAAAGCATGGTTGATGTATGGAATTTTTGTACTCCATACAAACACACACAGATTTCCAGGCTATCTCCTCACACACTTTATTTTTTTCTTCAGCAACTTAAAGTCAGTTAGGGACTCCATCAAAATGGCAAGCAAATGAAAGTGTGTACACCCCTTATGTACCACAGCATGTAACAACTTCACACAAAAACAACATTCCTTTCTTTATAGGGAGCATTATGAATTTCAGCAAATGTTAACAAAGAAATGGCAAAAGCGGGTCAAACTCATACCCAATGCCCTAATGTAAAATTCTRTTATCAGACAGAGTTGTGATAAATTGCTTCAGGTTCATTGATTAACCAGCACAGAATGACCAAATAGTTGAGATTGGAATGGATCTAGGGAAGTTGTCCAGCTCAACCTCCTGCTTGAGAAGGGTCACTTGGAGCAAGTTGCCCAGGTCCATGCCCAGRCAGCTTGCAAATATCTCTAGGGAAAGAGACCCCACAACATATCTGGGCAACTCAGGGTTTGGTCACCCTTCACAGAAAAAAAGGATTTCCTGGTGTTCAGAGGGAACCTGCTGTGTTTTAGTTTGTGCCTATCACCTTTGGGCCTGTCACTGGGCACCAATGAAAAGAGCCTTGCTCTGTTCTTTTGCACCCTCCCTTCAGGCATTTATACACACTCATGAGATCTCTCTGAGGCTTCACTTCTCCAGACAGAGCAGCCCCAGTGTACTCAGCCTGTGCTTAGATGAGAGATGCTACAGTCCTTTCATCATTTTTGTGGTCCTTCACTGGACTCTCTCCAGTATGTCCACGTCCCTCACATACTGGGAATSCCAGAATTGGACACGAGGTGCTAATTAGAGGGGCAGCACACATCTCTCAGCCTGCTGGCAATCGTTTCCCTGCTGCAGCCCAGATACTGTTGGCTGCCTTTGCCACGAGGGCGCACTGCTGCCTCATCTTCATCTTGTCCATTAGGTCATCCCTGTTCTTTTCCTCACTGCTGCTTTCCAGAGGAATTGCCCCAGGCTGAATCTGTGCATGGGGCACCCTCCCTAGGTGAAGGACTTYACATTTCCTTAGATTTATTTTTTTTTAGTTTCCTCCCTGCTCATTTCTCCAGCCCCTTGAGACCTTTCTGRATGACCTCACAATTGTCTGAGGTCCACTCCTCCAAGATTTTATAATCTTTAGGTTTTCTGAGTGTGCACTTGCTCCCAGCATCCAGGTCATTAGTAAGGAGGAAAGCCACTGAAAATTCCTTAATGCCAGCCAGTGCTGCTGCTATAAAGAGGATTTGTCTATGGTTAACAGGTGACAGAACAGTGGAGGGTTGTATTTCATGAATACTCTAAATTCTGAGGTGATTGTCATTAGCAAAGCATCCCATGGCAAATATCCCTCCGTGGACTTTTTCCTCCTTGTCCTCTTTCAAGTCTATTATTTGTTACTGAAGGCTACATTCAACCACAGAAATACAGTAATTCTATTGAAGAAATCCATCTATGTTTTAGTTTCAAATTACCTTCCTCCTTTTCAAACTCAGAAGGCAAAAAGCAAAATTATATATATATATTATATGAAATATACCTCTACACTGGAATGCTGGGTTGTAATAATTCATAGCCAATCTCTTCCTGGTTTTCCATCTTCTGCACCAGGAAGACTATAATTCTGGGGCAGGGAAAGATTTAAGCAAGGCATGTTTTCTGATTTCTGGATGGACYACCAGAAGGTTTTCAAGAGAAAAAYTACAATTAGACAGGAAAKCKGGTGMAAGTTGAGAAAKATGGGGAAATGGATGAGGACTGAGAAAGTGTAAGGAGATGAGTGATATACAAGCCTGGCTTGCAAGAAGAAGTGCCCATGTATCAAATGCAGAGCTGCTTCACAGACTCCAAGAAAGCTGGGAAAGGCTTACCACTAGCAGGGAGAGATTCTGCACAGGAGTCCAGAATATTCTTACAGACACTGACTTGTCATACCTTCTCACATWCTTGCAAAATTTATAGCAGATCTGCAAGATCAATTTTCCTGCTCTTCGTATGTTCTTGATTGAGACCAGTTTATCTTTTGTGCATTGCTTTTGTTAATCTGTTGAAACAAAAAAACTTCATGAAAATCATAAAAATTATGGCCAGCCACCCATTTCCAATAAGCAGTGCTTATTATTTCAGAAGGACATAGAGCTAGGAAAAAATGGAAAGATGAGTTGAGAATAGGTCAGAATGCAGTTACACACCTACATGCACAGCTGGTGCACCCTGTATCTTGCCTGCCCTCTTCTGCAATATGCTTTTGATTTAATTTGYACAGGGGTGAAAATAGGACTATGATACAGAAGCAAAGCAGAGATCTTATTTCTTCACCTTGCACTGTTAAATGCATTACTGTACCCAGAAACTTTAGTAGTATTTTAAAAAACAGTTAAAATATTAGAATTGGAAAAGAAGGGAAAAAAGGTGATTAAGTTTCTAGAAAGCATGTTTATAAGGAGAAGTTTATGGAGTCCAACCTATGCAGATGATGAAAAAAAATGGTTAAAGGACCTGATGCATCTGTCCAGTATTTCAACAYCTGAAATGACTGATTGAATATGAAAGGTGTGAGAGATCCTTCCTGCTAAGTGACTCACAGTGGGGAGCCCATAACTGGACACGGTGCTCTGGGTGTGGCCTCACCAGTGCTGAGTGGAGGGGAAGAATCACATCCCTTGACCTGATGGCAATGCCTTTGAAGCCAGYCCAGGGTACCATTAGCCTTCTTTGTCACTTGTGTTCAGCTTTGTGTCCATCAGAACCACCCAGTCTGTTTCTTGTCATCTCCCAGCATGTGCTGCTGCATGGAAAGGAGAAAAAGAAGTTGAGTTGAAAGAGTCAGAGTAATCCAGTTTCTTGAACATATATGAAAGATCCAGGATATAATAGGTTTGTACTGTGGAATAGAACTGATTTAACAAAATATGAGGGGAGAAAACATGTTATGACACCTAGCAAGAGATTCTGTGTGGAAAGAAAAGCCAAGACAAAGCCACRGAAAGAAAAGAAGGTGCTCAGTATCCTAATCCTTTATCACTAGATAGTTTCTTGAAAGAACTATTAGTAGCCACAGCTTCTATTGCTCAAGTTGCCTATGGCAACAGAGMATATTGTGAGCGAGGTTGACGCTTTTCCTAGCAGATCAGACATCCAGAAGCAGAGGACCTTAWAACTGTGAGATCTTCTTTCTTCAGAGATTTTTCTTTCTGTGCCTGGGATACTGTGCAAGATCCACTGTGCAATTACAGTTTGGAGAGTGTCTCAGCTGAGGTTTGATCAGATTGGATTGATTGAAACTGTCAGAATTATGTTGAGGGATAACAGCAGGTCACATGGCCAGACAKCTTTGTCCAGCTGTATTGGAAAAGATAATTTAAAATAATGAACCCCTCAGTAATATCTAATCCCTTCTGCTGTAGTTCAATCAGAGTTAGAGCTTATACTTGAAAGGCAAAGCTATTGCTTAAGATCTTTGAAATCATGGGAAAGCAGGCTAGAAATGTTCAGGAGTGCAAACTATTTTGCAGACCTAAGCCTTTACAGAAATTCAATTAGTTATTTAGGAAGGTGTTTTTTTGTTTTTTTTTTTTTTTTAATTGGGTCAATGGTTAAGTTCCTCAATATTATGTATGCATCCAGTGCAGAAAGTATGTAAAGACAACTCAGGAATATAGAGGGTTTTATCAATGAAAATACAAAATTGTTTGATCAGCATAACACACTGAAACATCAAACCCCTGC